AATTAACCTGACAACCTCTGGGATCCCAGTATGGGTTTAGGGTTTAGGGTTTAGGGTTTAGGGTTTAGGGTTTAGGGTTTAGGGTTTAGGGTTTAGGGTTTTGGGTTTAGGGTTTAGGGTTTAGGGCTACAGCCCACTCAAATCGACGGAATCCAAGGTGCACGTTTCTTATTCCCAGCGGTATACGCAGGCGATCGACCGAATCTGAAATTTTTGGAAGAACTCAGATACGGGACCCAGCCTACAGCACCCGAACAAATCTCCACAAACGAAGTCATCCAACAAGAACAACCCTAAACCCTAAACCCTAAACCCTACACCCTAAATTGTTCATTCTAGAAGAGTCCTGCCCAAACGGCAAGAGAACCCACGACGCCCCCACAAACTCCAGGCCCCTTGAACCCCAAAAAAGTGTAACCTTAAACCTTACCTGGACCCCAAAAAGAACCTACCCTTTTTCGGGTTCCTTCTTATGATTTCCTTATATAAGTCCGTAAAAAAAAGTAGGTTATTTGGGATTAATGTAAACTCTGAAAGCCCTAAACCCTAAACCCTAAACCCTAAACCGAAAGCCCACAGGTGTCACCCCGCCTGCTGCGGGCCCCGGCGCCCAAAGTCGCCACGGCCGCTTGGAGTGACAGTCCCAGACGCAGGCTTTGGTCCTGCAGCCTCGGCACGAAGGCTGCCAAAGGCTCCATCTGCATCTCAGATATAAAAAATAAAAAAGTATATCTATATGAGTAATATATATATATACACATATCATATGTATGTATATATATATATATATAAATATGTATATGTTACTCTAACCATTACTCTCTCTCTATACATATATGCATGGTAGACTGAGGGTTTCTGCATAAGGCTTCAGGGAGACAGTGTCGCCTGTACATGGATTGGAAATACTGTTCAATCGGGGAGTACAGCAGCGTGTTATGGGGCTTACGGAAGTCAGGATGTCTCTGCCGAACCATACAAGTTTAAAGAAATAGACCTTAAACCCTAAACCCTAAACCCTGCAGCTGAACGTCAAGACACAGCTGCACCTACCGTCCATATAACCTCGCCGGGCTGTGGTTCGAGGTGCTGGGTTTTGGATGCTTGGAAAGCCCTTGCGTTGAGACATCATGGCATGTAAGGATGTAGGATTCGCCGCTGTGTATAGGGTCAGACTGAACAGTTTGAGGTCAAAACACAGATGTATGTGTAAATAAATAATATATATATATATATATACACATGCACATACATATTTGCATCTGCATGCTGATACGAAGTGCTGTTTTGTCACTATGTCAGCGAGCCAACACGCAAATGCTTTCACACCAGTTTTCGCCAGGAGTCTACCTACGTGCTGCCTCATGCTCAGATTCCGCCAGCATTTCTCCACATCACTCCTTAAACCCCAAACCCTAGACCCTAAACCATAAACCCGAGATGTACGCGCACCGTCCCTTCATCTTCGTCGCTCGGAGGCATGCTGCAAACGACGAAGACTATGTTCAAGATTGTGGGACGTGTCATGACCATCATGATGAACACAACGAACATGATAACCGTGGCCATGACGATGATGATGATCATCATGATGATGAGGACGATAGCACGCAGCATGATCTTATGACAGCTTAATATAGGGGCCTCAGTAATTAGGATAGGGTTTTGGCGTATATTATACTACAACTAGAATTAGAATAAGGAACCCCCAAAACCCTCTTCAAATCATAATGAAGGCAAGTACACTGCTGTGCCCACAAGGTCCGACAGTAATGACGAGTGGCAAGGCCAAAGACTCGACCCAACAGGAGGACAACGAAGTCAAAGCTGCGAGGTAAGAAACCGCATCCTGGGCATGCGACCGGCGACTGGCGATCGTGGAACTTCTTTCACCACATCCAAGGGTTACTACTGCTGCTGCTACTACTACTACTACTACTACTACTACTCCTACTACTACTACTACTACTACTACTACTCCTACTCCTCTACTACTACTACTACTACCACCACTACTACTACCACTACTACTGCTACTACAACTGCTAC